TTCAGATACCTTGCACGCTGAAAGCTGAGTGCAGCTTGAGAAAGGCCGAGCATTTTTAGTGCCTGCTGATTTTTGTAGGAGCAATTGGATGCTCATCTTCCTGTGTGTCCTACTGTAGCTAGTACTGCATTGCAGCAGGGAATCAACAGTTACAAAAGATAAAGGATCTTGATCTCGTTAACAATGTTTTCATGAACAGAAATTTAGTTTTACAAAGTAACAAAAGGTAACTACCATTTGAGAGAAAAGGTGAGTTGTACTGTCATCTGATTTTATTGAAGCTAAAACACGTCTATGATACAGCTGGTGCTGAATAGTTGTGCTGAAAAATAATGTGTTCATAAATTGTTAGGAACAAAATGAGTAGCAAAAGTGCACTGTTTGTATGCTTTTCTTCCACTCAAATTAATTGAGTAGCCTACATGCAAAATATTGTGTCAGCCCATTACTTTCCATCGAACAAAATAATAATTTTAAAACTTTTTATAAATAAATAGTAATAAAAATGCAATAATAGCCCCCCTGTATTTCTCGCACCTACATAATTTGTCAAATTGGCTTTGCATCTGCCAAGGTGAAAGCTCCAGTGATGTCTGAGGAGCTTACGGAAAACTCAGTCAAGCTGGAAGTGAAGTAACATCGACCATAACTGGGTTTAGGCAGGGTTGTTGCTTGAATGAGTATGGAATGAACCTAACGGGCCACAGTGTGACCTGTTTAGGAGGAGGAGCATAGAGAAGTCAAAGATGGTTTACGTGGGAACTTTCTAAATACAATAGCAAGTTGCCTCTGTTAAATTAAGTTTTTCCCTCTGCCATGTGGCAGCATCTTTGCCATGGAAGGTCCTGATCCACTGAATAGGTCCAAGGTCTTTTTCCATAAAGAGGCCTAATGGGGAGGAAGCATGCTCCTGGTGAAAAGGCTGTTTTGTCTGTATGCTCATTTATGCTGATTGGTATATTAAAAAGCCTTGGCCAATGAAGTCGACAGCAGTAATCTGGGCAGGAACTGGACAGTAACTACATTCAGAGCCACTGGTTAAACTGTTGTAAACCGACATGGCTGTACCCTATGGATGTGTTCCAGAGCCATCCAAGCTCCCTTGTGTTCCTGGGGCTGAATTTCCCTCCTCTTCCTCCTCCTCCCATCCTCCACAGACACACTCACACACAGAAAAAACCCAAACATCCACAAACCATGAATGAGATGTTTCTGAGAGTAAAAGCAAGGAAAAATGCATGATTTTGCCTGTGTCAGCCTCTGGACGTGTTTCCAGTGGGAGCCGTGTACCCTCTCTGCGGTGGGGAGAGGCTGCCTGCTGTGTTCGAGTGAGCCCCTCGCTCTCCTGGCTGTGGGCAAGCGCAGAGTTCATGAAAATGTGCCTTTCACACAAGCCCAATAGACACTTGATCGTACTTACAGTCCAACCCTTTAACCAAGGAGTATTTAACCAAAATTATTTAAATGTATAATAGTTAAGGGAAGCTTCTAAGTTTCCGTAAGTATTCTAACAGAAGCAGGCTTCTTATACTTTCAGAAGAAAACTGAAGGAGTTGTCAGCAGCTGAAAGTTTTGGATGGTTGGGCAGAATCCAGGCCCATCTTCTAAAACAATTGCTTTTTCTTACCAAAGTCTTGAAATTATGCTGGAACAGGAAAACTGAACTAAAATGCATAGTATTCTGAAACTAGATTAGGACTTTAATTAAAAACAAATTAGCTAGTCATTCCTTGGAAGTCCAAGCTATGTGAATATGCCGGTTTGCTATGCAATAGCAGTGAGTGTTAAATTCAAACTCCTCCTACAGCAAACATCCTTTCCCCTGCAGAGTTCTCATAAGCAAAGCAAAACATGTTTTAATGAAGTGAGTTTGCTGGACAGAACTACTCCATAATTACTAAGCAGACGATATTGTGATTAGGTTTCATTATCCGGAGTGACTGTTTCTTGAGAAACTCTCATTATGGGTGCAGTTAGTTCATGGCATGTTGTCTTACTGAATCACTCAGGTCCGCTAGCGCTCTAATAGAAGAAAAAGAGCTAATTCTGTTGGTCAGAAACTGAGAGAAATATTTCAAGAGCTTTTGTTTTCACTTTTCTGTACCTTCTGATTTCTTTTGCTGGTTCCAGTCACCTCTGATACTAATATATGGTAATAAACCTGATAACATTTAATGGAGCTTTAAAAGTTCTTTGTCTTCAACTTTTGTCTTTGCCCTGGAGACATCTCGGTGCTCATGAAGTGGAAAAGATTTTGTAATAACACAGCAGAGTTTTGCCCCTAAATACCATTTTTCTAGGAAGACAGTTATGTATGCATCCCCGCATGCTGAATGAGTGTTTATGTTTTGGAAAGGTCATTGAATTTGAAGCCTTAATCTGAAAGAGCATCCTCTAATCGTAGGATCTTCTCTAGGGACTCTGCTGCCGCTCATTTATTGTGCTTAGAATGGGCACGTTAACGTGCTGTTGGATGGCAGTATGAATATCTAAGATGGAAAGAAAGCTGCAAGACCCAAGAGACAATAATCTTTTAGAAATGCATAGAAGCATATGGCAGGTTTTTTTATTGTAGTAACTTGGTGATTTTGGCATCCTGTATTCCCAGAGCTCCTCCTGGGGAATATTCACACCACTTTGTTTCAGGATTACCACCAATATAACCAGGCTGGAATGCTGATCTCCATAGGCTTAGCGTATAGACTGTCTGTTCCCCTCTCACGGAGAGACAGAGGGAGAGCGGCTGCTCCAGGGAGCTATTTAATGCATCTCAGCTTGGGCTTCTGTTCCATGCCACCTCCTGGACTTGCCTCACTCCTCCCTTTTCCCCATCATCTGTCAAGGCAGCTGAGGACTTTTTTTAATGAGGAGCCATGTCTGTGACCTTGAAATGGCATACCTCGTGTTAGGTGGTAGGAAAACTCCTTTTCTGTGTGTTTTGGCATCTCTCTGCAATGCAACAGAAAAAATCATACATTAATTCATTGTAAATAGAAATTTCTCTGAAACTGCTAAGGACCCCATAAATATAGAATTTTTAGAAGAGATTAATAGGAAGAATAGGTGGGTGAATACAAGTCTAAAGATACATGAAAAATTCAGTTTTCATCACCAGAGAATGATTTATAATGTAGGTCTCTTCACTTTGCATGTGAAGAGCTGAGTGTTCTGTAATTTTCTAACAGTAATTTTTCAGTAATTGTCAGTGCAGTTACAAGAGAGGTGAAAATATGAATAACAAGCCAGCATTGTATTAAATATCCCAATCAAACAGGAAATCTAAGCTTTCATTTTTATTATGGAATTTTATATCATTTTTACCTTTTAAAAATGTCAGCTCAAAGCAATGTTCTTGTATCCAAAAAGCCATAAAAAAACCCAATTTTGCAATAAAGTTCACTTTTTCACTTTTTTACTTCTTCCTATTTCAGGTAAAGCACAAAACATTCTTAACCCCATTTTATATATTTCTTGGCTTCCTTTTTTCAGTAATGATTCTGCATCATGAAATACAGATAAAGCAGAAGGGGTGGGGTGTGTGTCTATGCTTAAAGGTAATCCTATCTCTGGAAGAAAGTCATGTTGGTAATAAAAATTTTGTTACATTTTACATTTGATTCTGATTTGTTTATTCTGAAACGTTATTGTTCAATAAAATAAGGCATCTATGTACAAACCTAAACTTCTAACTGTTTGTAAATAATTTAAAGATGAGAAGATCCCAATGTAATGGTCTGTAACAGGATTGAGCTTTTGCTGTCACTGGATATTTTTTTTTTTTTTTGCTTTTATCACTTAAGTTTTTTTACTTTCCTTTTTACATAAGATATTTGTAGTTTGGCATTTGGAATCAGAGCGGTGATTTGGCAAGGTGGTTATATCCAGTTTTATATTATTTTTCCATAGCATTGTTGTAGAAATTTTTTACTTTAAGAAGTATGCTTTGCAATCTTGGAAGAGTGGTTGGTGCAGCAGTCATGTGCAGTTGTATTTCAGTCATTTGAGGAGACTGGTTAGCTTTCATCTTTTGAATTTAAGAGCAGTTAAGCTGGTTCTTAATTGGTTTTGGAGGTTCCCACACTTTTGGGACCAGAAGAATGTCCTAATCCCTGAATTTGCTGACAAAACACACGTTTGGAAACCTGAACTGAGAAATCAGTTTTAGTTGCTGAAAGGAGACTTCACAGAAAACATTGAAACTCTCAAAAATCACTTGCTGAGAGAGAATGATAGGAAAAAATTACAGCTTCCCTGCTTCTGAGAAGAGGGTGTTCAGGGAGTGAGAGATGAGGAGATACACAGTACCCGTTTGACAGTCTCAGCCTTTTTGGAAGCTTTTTTATTTCTGTCTTGATGTGAAGAGGCTGCCAAGGATAACAGGTTTAAGAATTAGCCCGCCGTGAAGCAGTTATTTATTGTAATCTTCATGCCTGCAATAGTAAATCATGCTTGGCAGCAGTAGAACATGAGAAACTCAGTCCAAAGTCAATTAGCATGTTTTATTAGTATAGGATAAACTTTAGAGTTAATGGGAGTTACCCATCATCGTTAAGAGTCCGATTTTCATCTGTGCCGAACATCTGCACATTCAATGGAAATTAGTGAGGTTTGGGGATGCTTAATGGGGGCAGAGAGGGGTTGGAGCTCACCACGTGCTCCCTGTGCCCGAGCGCTGCTCCGGGCAGGGCACCTAACCCTGGGGGTGCAGGGGAGCACCTCCTCCCGCCCCTCTGTCTCTCTACGTGGATGCAAAGGCATTTGCTTCTTCCTTGCTCTGACACCGTGTCAGTTCGGGGTCATCACAGAAAACGGATTTTGGATTGTGCTGCTGACTGAGGCCTTTTTCCCCTCCTCCTTCATTCCCTCTGCCTTGTAGATTCAGCAATGTGATTTAATATGTACTTTAAAAATGCAATGGTTTAAATTGTAAGTTGATATACAAATAGTTAGCAATGGTATGCTTATTGTGATGTTTCTTTTTTTTTTTTTTCCTTTCCTAGTGTAAAACTCTCTCTGGCGTCTGTGATCACATTATCTCACTCTCTTCTGATCCGCTGGTTTCCCAGTCTGCCCACCTTGAAGTGATCCAGCTTACAAACATCAAGCCAAGTGAAGGGCTGGTAAGAAGTACGCAGTTAATCAAACCCGTCATCCAGGATGAGAAAGTGATTTTTTTTTTTTTTTTAAATAAGTTTTGTATATAGAAAGCAATGGGACGTTTTTAGCCTTTTCTATTTTAAAGTCTGAAAATAGTTTGATTTCTCATGCTAGTTTGGTTTCTTATGTGGCTGGGCCAACAGGGAAGTATTTTGTAAGGCTGACCGATGTACACGAAGAGTTTAGTGAACAGGGAGAAATAAGCGAGAAGTTCTTGCCATTTATACCATCTTCTGAAAAATGGTTCAGGTTGTTCTAGGATCTTGAAGTCTGAAGGGATTTAAATTACTAAGATCAACTCAACCAAGAAGTTTGCGTGGGCTTATGCACAAAACCTGTCAAATTCTGGAATATGCTTCATAGTATCTCTGGGATATAAAGCTATTTTCTAAGTTATTCAAGGGCTCTATAGCACTGCTGAGAAGTAGCTTATTGAATTTTATTGCAAGAACCCTGCATGCTTGATCAGGTCCTTGTAAAGGCTCAGTGCAGCCATCCAGTGTTTGTTGTTCAAGAGCTGACCGTTGATCTTTTGTTTAGTCAAGTATCCAACACCCACTGCATGAAAAAAACCAACACTGATAACAATTACAGCTGTACGACTACACATCACTAGTAATATCTTTTCCCACAATCCCTGGAGGTAGTGAAAGGTGATCAGAATACAGTTAACCATTTTTTGCCTAATGAAATAGCTTTTGCAACTTCTGCCCAAGTTTATTCTCATTCCATTCTCTTGAATAAGAAGGACGACTGCTGTACTCTTTGCAGCAGGTTGTTGAAGTTGTTTGAATGGTGTAGTTTTGGAGAGTATTTTGGTTTGTGGGTTGGTTGTTGTTGGGGTTTGGGGTTTGGTTTGGTTTTTTGACAAATTTGGTATGCCAAGGTATTTAGAGCAATTATACACTAAATTAATTTTCCATTCTTTTGGAAAATCACAATTAAAATATGAGAAAACCCCCAAACATTTGGATGAGTAAATATTGTCCCATCCTTTTTTTTAGTCTGCTGTTTATTTTCCTTCCTACACTGGCTTTCTTTTTTTATCTCTGAATCCTTTTCAAACTAGTCCTCCGGGATTTCAACTTTTCATGGATTCTCTTCTCCCTCTCTTTCTCCTGTAATTTTAACTCTTCCACCAGCTTGCTACAGTCAACCTTCTGAAATCCTATCTTCTATTGTAATGAAAAAATCTTCTTCCCCTTTCTCTAGATCACCTTTTTTGGAGTTCTGTCCATTTTTATCTGAACTTTTATTTCTTTTCCTTTCTGTCTTGTGACTGTTGGGTTTTTTTCCTCATTTAAGTCTTTGTGTAGGGTTAATCCCCAGTGACGGAAAAATGTTGAGTGGTATTTTTGTAAATAAGAATGTATTTCATGGGTCTGTTCCTGCTGGGTAGCTGATGAGGTAGAGAATCTCTTCCCCCTCTGTGCCTCTGTTCTGCACCCTGTGTCTGTCTTGTGTGTTTAAACTGGAAGCTCTTGAGGCAGGGCTTTTTCCTTTTAATATGTGTTTGTGAACCAACTGAACAGGGTCTTGATGCTGACTGAGGACTACCGTGTCATTGTCATAAAAATAATTATATGTATTTTTAAAAAATGGAAGGTACCAACTGTGCAGTATAGAAGCCTTAGAAGGATACAATGCTATTCTGATATGGTTATATTTTTTCCCCTTCATCCTTGCCTGTATGCCACTATTTTGTTGTCTCTGTATTGTGCTGTCTCGTCTAGATTGTGAGCTCTCCAGAGCAGGAACCAAGGACGATATATTTGCGCCAGAAGGGTGAATATCATACCTTTCAGTTTGTTACACTGCCAATCTTACTAACAGATCATCTTTGTCAGGTTGCTCTTGGTGCTTTATATGAAAGATTTGCTTTTGGGTTTGTTGGGCTTTTGTTTGGTTGGTTTGTTTTTAAACTAATATCTTTCAATTAAGACACAGTGAATGTGTATCAGTACCTCCCCATTGAGTGCTATGTGTGTCAGTTTAAGAATTGATGGTAGAGCTTGGAGTTGTGAATATCCTCTGCACATCAGGAGCACTTGAATGAATGTGAAGCTCGATAACTTCTGGACCTTCTCCCAGGATTTGTGGAACGATGGAGGTGGAAAAATGGATTATTGTCAACTTTCTTCTCGATTTTTGACCCACATGACAGTTCTGTGCTGGTTCTACTGACCACTAAATAAAATATTCTATAAAGATGGAAAGACTTCAAGCAGAAAGAAAAGGACAAGGATGGCTGCTAACTGGGAAGATTTTTTTTTGTCAGCTAGAATAAACAAAATATATAACATGTCTCAAATTTAATATCTAAGAAGCTAAAGTAGATCAGGGAGAGAAAAAGGGAAGGAGAAGAGAAGAAAATAAAAAGTTTGAAAAACAATGCTATTTCCCTAAACTTTATATATATATATATATGATGGAATTGAGAAAATGGTTGGCATTTTTACAACTTAAAACCGATTGGAGCACTATCAGGATGTTTTAATCAGCACAAACAGTTCCTTCACTATGTTTGATCTTTTCTTGTGGAAACGTAAGTATCAGTCAGAAGTAAATGTAAGTTGTCAGACTAATACCTTAATGCAGAAAGAACAGGTAAATGTGTTGCAGGGTTTATAACATCTTATAGATATTAAAACTAGCTAACACCTATCAGAAAAACAGACTAAATAACCTGGCAAGCAGAAAATGTTGTTAAGGTGTGATGTGGGGAAACTCTTGTGTACTGGGTAAAGCAATGTTATGGGTGGATTTTGGTATGGCTTTTTTTTTTTGCCTTTTTTTTTTTCCCTCTATCCCTGGTCTGTTGCCCAGATGGGGTTATGTGACTGGCTGCATACATGTGTTCTCCAGTGGGTACTGCTGTGGGAAGAGATACAGCCTGCAGTGGCTGTGAAGTAAGGATGCAAAGGGAGTTGTCAGGGTAGAAAATGATTTTAAAAGCCCTAAAATGGATTAATGTGGTCAGCTTTGCAATCACCAGCATGGTCCCGTGTGTAATCACTTTTTTTTTCTTTCTTTTGAGGACTTGGAAGTTGTTTCATCTGTATCAGTAAGCAGAATTCAATTTTGTGTGTTTTTATACTACTGATGTTCTAGAAAGAGACAAAACTGACTAGCTTAGGTGGTATCTTTTGCCAGGAAACAGATTTAAAAATATTACTGCTTGACTGAAAACAGTGAGTGTATTTAGCAAAGAAGCAGAATACTGTATACCTTTTGCTGGACAAAAAGCAGGCAACCAAGTTTTCCTTGGGAAGTTTTTCTTCAGTAGTCCCTTTCTATTTTGTCTTTATTTCTAATATAGAACAGAATATTGGAGAACTGTGGCAAGGGTTAATCTTGAATTTCAATTTTTTCCTGTTCTTATTATCATTTTAATCCTAGTCAGTTCAGGTACTGTGATTATTCATCTAGCTTGCTAGATTCAGAAATGCAAAGGTGAATTCACCAGAACATGAGACTGATTATTCTGGGTTCTTCTTTGCCTGCTGAAGCAAACACAAAATGAGCCTGTCATGTAAAAAATGACTTGTGAAATACAAGTTGTAGATACAGCAGGGTGTGGCAGCTGATTAAAGGTGCACTGCTGACTCCCTGGCTAGAAAGTATTTTCCAGGAATCTGGTTCCTAATATTTCTCCTGTGTTACTTGGTTTAATATACTGGAGGAGCTAGGAAAAAATTATGAACAGGGCTCTGAGAACTGTTTAGGGTTAAAGAAGCACGTGCAGCTTTGTGGGACTCCATTAAGGTGGTGTCACAGTGAAAGAGTGAAAATTCAATTAAGTGTATGATAAAATGGAGTTAGTATCTTCTTTTCTTTTCCATCCAGCATGGCATAAAATATGTTAAAAGTACATCGGATTCTGTTTTCATTCTTTAAAAAAAAAGGAAAAGAAAGAAAAAATACACAAGGTCTCCTTTTTAATCCTTAACTGAATAATAGTTCAAACCAAAATAAAATGTAATGATTGGTTTGAAATTAGACTTCTACCCATAACTGATCAGGAAAATCTCTGATGCAATTAAGTATGAGTTACCCAATCTTTAATCTAGGCATACATTTGTTCTTGATTACTAGGGTGGTTACCTTATGGTTATTTTAATCATGTTAACTGAATTATCATTCCTTTTATTTGACCTGACCGATTCTTGTAAATTCATAGGGACCATGGCATTATCTTTGGACACCTAAGATGTGTATCTGCCAATTTGTTTCAGTACAAATAGAGAGCACACACACTAATCTCCCCTATATTTTTGATTGCTAAAAGTACTGTTGATATTGTGCAGCCACAAGGAGGCAGAGGGGAAAACTTGTAAACATTTGTGATATTCGTATTTCCATTCCCAATCAAACAATATAAGCAAGAAACATCCTCTTCTCTGTGCCTTTTCCCATATATTGCACACTTAAAAAAAAAAAAAGGAGCGGAGGAACGTCAGTGAAAGGGTAGCTCATCTTTCTGTTGCAAAATGGTAACTCTCCCCATTTAAAAGCTGCTTTGTAAACAGAATTATGTTGGCTCTTGCAAAATTAATGTGCCATGGTACTAGTGTAACATTATTAACTTTGCACATGTGGAATAAATATAATCTGGGGGTTTTTTTTGCAGCTCCCCTCTTTCCTCTCTTTCCTAAAGTTTGCAAAATCTCGATTTTAGCCTTTAAAGAAAATTCTGAAGAAGTTCTTTCTCTTCTTTTGCTTTCTCAAAGTCTTTTAAATTTGTAGAAAAGACTAGATTGGATGTGAATTGCACTCCACCACGATAGCATACTTGGATGACCTTACTATCCTTCAGAATAATGCTTCGCACAAAACTAAACACTGTGTAACCATTAAGTGTGAGACTTTATCCTCGGCTTTCACCCTGATGTTTTCAGTCGAAAGCAGTAACTTGCTGTCAATAAAAACAAAGACGTGACTTTCTTCAGAAATTGCTCTCTGTGGGGACCTGACTCAGTTCCTGTCACCATGAAGTCATTGCGATTTCAGCTCTTGCCATGTCGCAGGGTGAATGGTCAGGTCACTTAGATTTTTGGTGGTTTGAGGGCAGGTATGAGTACCAAATAACAGATACCAACGTATCTCAGCCTCTTGTGTGACTCATTACCCTGTCTGTAACATGCGTGTATATTAGTGTTTCCCTACCTCACAGGGGTGTTGTGAGGATAAATGTATAAGAAATTGCCATTCTATATTTGAGATAACCGAGTTAAGCAGGAAACTACATGCATGGAGCCAATCAGTGGAAAAATTGCTGAAGATGCATAGAGGTGTTGGAGTTGAAGGATGATGCTAGGGGCTTCTATCTGTGTAGTAACGAGCAGATTTTTGCTTTGTTCTCTTCTAGCTGTGGCAGCCCAACATGACAGCTGGATTTGGTGCCGTTACTGCTATTTATTGTGCAGAGCAAAATAGGAGTGGAGTTTTGAGACCCCTCTCCTCAGAAATTCATAAAGTCCCTTTTTTTTTTTTTTTTTTTTTTTTTTTTGGGGATATCCACTTAAAAAAGTGACAGATACTTCCTTGTTCCCACTACCAAAATGTCTGTGAGTTCTGGTCCCAAATTAGATTAGACCTGATATGTCTTCTTTGCCTTTACCATACTTAGTCACTTGTGAGTGCACTCTGTTCCTCAGCTAGGAACAGACTTCTTTGTGGCACTGGTTAAAAGGAGAAAAAGTAGGTTATGGAGAGAATGTTTACTCAAGCACTCAGTATTTACCTGCTTTCTGTGAACCGGTCAGGGAAAGGAGATTGCTCAGAAGTTGTTGAATGCTCCGTGTATGCCAATTATCTCTCCTTTTTCCTTCTCTCATTGTCTCAGTGGATGCTGTTCAACTGTTTGAATTATGACTTGATGAAAAACCAGATTTGAGACAGTGTCTCAGACTACCCATGCAGGAACTTCTGACTGTCCATAAGCTATCCCTCCTATTCCATATTTTTTTGAAAGAAGTGGGATAGCTAACAAAGTTGATGTTTAAGTTTTCATCATTGGGTTTTATAGCTGAACTGTTCACTGAGATGAGTGAGGCTATCAGAAAGTCTTAGAGCCATTTTGCAGGCACACTTCAGAGCATTGGTTATCAGTTTGAACGTTATGGTTGCAGCATTGCCTACCAGAGACTCCAGATCTTTTAAAGCTTTCTGTAGCTTCCAAAGCAAAATGGAAGTATTGATCAGCCTAAGGCAATTTGTAATTCTGTTTTTTTTTTGTAATCAGGTGTTGTTACATTTGTAGTTGAAGGAGTGTATTAAAAACACTGGGGAGTATTTATGGAGATGACTGTGGTAAAAGTTTTCATTTGCTTTTGTAAATTAGGACCAGAATCATTTGGGCTGGTGTTCTTGGAGTGTATCAAAAAGCACTTTCCTATCCAGAGACAAATTCCTCATGGCATTTATTAAAAGTCCTCAAATCTTAAAAAAAAAAAAAAAAAAAAAAAAAAAAAAAAAAAAAAAAAAAAAGGCTTTTTTTTTAGAGATATGCAAGTTATGTTTGGATGGTGATGGTTTGTGAAACACTTTAAAAATTCTTTCCCATGATGTCTTTTTCTTAGGGTATGTACATTAAATCAACATATGATGGTCTCCATGTAATTACTGGAACAACAGAAAATGTAAGTATTGTTAATACTGTATGTTCAGACCTGGAAGCCTTTTTGACCTTACCTGTGGTTTATGCTTTCCCTTTGCTATAGACTACATTTTGCTTGCAAAAGTGTGCTAGTTGGCTGTTGAGGACCAATAGCATGTTGGACAGCAGAAACGCTTGTGCTTGTTTACCTCAGAATTGAAAGAGTTCTTCCCATTTGAGGACCAGGAGAATCTGTTTTGATTTGTTCTTGCAAGACACCTACAATGCTGCAGTTGATCAAGACGGGAAGTAGCTGTCTTGGAGTTACCTTGCTCTGTGAATAAAAGATAAATGTCTTTATTATGCATAGGCTGATATGCTGGAGTTTGCTGCAGTATTAGACAAACAGCTTTTATATTTTCCATATGTCAAGCTTTATTTTGTAATAAATGCATGGAAATAAGGACATCCCTTCACAATGGCAAATAACCATGTATTTCTGCATGAACTTCTGAGTAATGCCTACAGAAAGGAACACTTACTACCGGTGTACTAATTCTCACAGAAGGTATTAAACAGCAAGCAAAACATAATAGACTGCTCTTCAAATGCCTCTGAAATCCAACCTCCTTTCCTTGTACACCATATTTAGAGAACTGGCTGTCTGTTAGGAAGAGAGCAACTGATCATTTTGGGGGGAAAGGCTTCTATCCATAATCTTCAGTGAAGATGGAACAAGCACTAAACAACACTGAACTGTTCCATAATGGTTTAGGCAATGCCTTTCAAAGATTTTGATGGCATTTTCTTAAAAGGAAGCTGTCAGAAATGTTTGTTTTATCCTGCTACTGTGTCATACTGTGGAAAGTGCAAACTACCTACGTGGTATTTACAGCTGCTGCATCTGATCTGCAGTGAGGTTCTGTTAACATCTCAATAAAACAGGAATATTGTTTTCACCCCTTCATAGGAGCTGTAATCTGATAGCCTGCCTTCTTTCTGTTTTCTTCTGCTGCAGGCAGGATATCCATGGGTTATACCCAATAGATAATATCTGTTGTAGAACTTGTGTGAATGCCACCTGTCTCAGAGTAAGGAAAACGTAAGGAATTTCAACCTTGAAAACAAAATTCTAGGGAGTCAGACCTACAGGTACAGATACCATCAGTGAAATTAGCAAAACTGAACAAAACCAACAGAACCATAGTTGAGCTTAATCTAGAAAATATATGAAAGAAAGAGGATGGTTTTTACAGTTGACTTTCTCTCAGATTAAAAAAGGAGTCTTTTCTCTCCATGACTTACTAATATTGGATTTAATTTCCCAGGGGCAAAGATAAAAATAAAATCTTAATGCATTCCCTCAAAACTCTTATCTTTTGTGATTCATGAATATAATTTAAAGCCACATCAGGAAGCTTCAGTCGTGATGACTCTTCTGCTGTCGTTACTGACTCTTTCACTCACTGCAACACCCTGGAGGTGTTCACAGCAGACTGAGAAACTGCAGTCTGCTATCTAGGGAAAAAGCTGTTGTGTGTTAAAGTATTTGTGAAAACGAGTAATGCTTTAGAGAAAGTGAGGTGTCTCCTACTTTTAAGCACAGAGTTGCTAGCTGCTTCCTTTAGCCAAAAAAAAAAAAAAAAGTATCATTCTGATAGATGGGAGGAGAAACATCTAAGCAGAATGGCCAGAGCAAGTTCATGATGGTGCAGACATGGTCTGACCTGTTGGGTCTTGACGTGTTTTGACATGTTTACTCTTTGTGATTCAATTTAACTTCCAGGAAACAGTAAGAATCCAAATTCTCTTCCCTTTGAACAAAATTTTGTGGCCTTTTTCTTTCCAATTCTGCTCCTCCAAGTGAAGCATTGGCAGACTTTTTGTCTGACACTTTCCCGAAAGATCACAGAGAAGTACTGGTCTTTTTGATAAACACAGTGGCATGGCAGTGCTAGCCACATTAATGTAACAGCAGTTTTTGTAACCGCAGCTCTGCTTTTTCTGTTTGCCATCTGAGCCATTTGATGTCCAGCTACAAAGCCCATTAGAGTTTGGATCGTGCTGTTCAGCATTAGGAGCCATCTCTCCCAGTGTATCAGCCCGGCAGTTCAAAGCAGCTGAGCTCTGAAACTTGAACTGCGAGAGAGCAGAGTTCCTCACGGGTCAGTGCCCCGTAAGAGCTGCTCTCTGGTGGTCCTGTACCATTAGAGCAAACTGAGGTTTCTGGTTCACGTCTTCTCTCTTTTGTTTGGAAGTAACAAATCTAAAGGGTGTATTGGTCCAGCAAGAGATTACAGCTTGCTTGTTGAGTAGCCCTTTTAGACCATGTCGGAGGGATTCTTTTAATTCACGAAACAAATGTATTCTGCAAATAAGGCCATTTTGTAATTTGTTTTTTCAGTAGAAAAAGAGTATTTTCTAAAGTAATAGCATGCAGTGCATCTCTAGCAGGAGTGTAACTTTGAAGGGGGTGCTCCCAGTGTCCCCGCTTACTGTGCACTGGTTGAGTTTGTGGGGTGCCCTTAGATCTCAGGAAGAGAGGCCTTTCAGAAGAAATAACACCAAAATCTCCACTCTGGGCATGCAGCAAATGTGCTCCAGGGGGTCTAAACTGGTCTTTCAGACAGTGTGGGTATACTGGGGGAATGGGACAAAGACAACATTTAGCCTAAAGGACAAAACTAAATCTATGCTGAAGAATAAGTCCTAAACAGATTCTTGAATAGCTTGTACAGTATCAATGCGTGACCCTCAGCGACAGGTACTTCCATCTGCTGTTCAACTCCCTGTTGAACCGAATTGCCAGCTAATGAAGATATAGCTGTCATGTGACACACTTTGTTCCTCCTGGTAGGACTTCATGAATGGATCTTTTGCTTAATGATCAGCATATACATTAAAAAAAGAAAGCGCTTATCAATTCTCCTCTGTTTTCCTTAAATAGTGATGATAAAAGATACTATTTCTTTGCAGCAAGGTCTGTATTCTTTACTTAGGAGGAAAAAGCAATAAGGAACAAGAACTGCAACCTCTTTGTAAGACCGCAGCCTTGAGATGCCTTTATAAATTATTTTTACTTTACCTTGCAGTGTGCTCAAGGCATAATTGCAATGAGGTTTTTTTTAAAGTAGACTTTTCCAATTTGAAGGTTCTCAGACCATATTTTACTGGCTTGGCAAACTGCTACACAAACTACCTGTTTTGTCAAGATTTAAGCTGCAAGTGCTGAAGTCAATACAAGAGAAAGTTTGTATTGTAATAAAGCCCTGTAGAGTTCAAGGGTAATGACACACGATTTGCTTGCATTTATGTTTTGAAAGTCTTAGGTGTAACTGCATCTGAGCTAAAATAGCAATATTACATAGGAGGATTATAAAGATTGTTAGAGGTATGAATGAGTAAGTGTGAGTAGTGAAATGGCAGGCAGAAGACAGATCATTAGAACATAATCACCAGTGTTAAAATTTTTCCCCATGTCACTCAGCCAACACCTTTAATGCTGAAGTAGTGCCAAAAAGTCAAGGCTGCTGTTCTTTATGTAAGTAAAATTACACTTTTACTAGCCCAGCTTGATTTGGGATGTTCTGAGCAATGTCTTCTAGGACTGCGTCATGAGTGACCCTTCTTTCAGCCTCATGTTTCTCTTGGATAGCTTCCATTTAAACACTGTCCTTAACTTAGGCCCTGAATTACGTGCAATTGCACTAGAAAGTCATGGCGTAGCTATGGGACATGTGTTTTGAATGGGGATGTAGTACATAGCTTATTACAAACAGTCCACATTTCAGGCCTGGAGCATGTTCTCTAGATGACCTCTTATCTCACCTGAAAATGAATTTAATTGCATTCCTTTCTGCAAAATTCATAGCAGCATTTTGGAAACCTACTCCTGAGCAGCTTGGTTTTTTTTTTTCAAACTGTCAGTCTCACCTTCTAGCTTTAAGTTGATAAAGTGCCTTCACAGGCTGGCAGCCACAGTTATTGAGAGAAAAAAATCAAAGTGTTGTCACTCTATGAAAAGCTGAAGGAACTTATTTTCCTCTAAACTTGGAGGTATTTACCTCCAGAAAACAGTTGGTCTACTGTAAATATAGAAGACAAAAGAAGGAAAAGTTTTGGGGGGCTGTCACTTTATGGGGGACAGTTGGGCTTTTTGTTTGGATTTTTGTTGTTGTTGAGGTGTTTTATTGAGGCAAAATCAAAGAACAAAACTACTTTGCTTTTTGAAATGTGATTTTTTTTGTAGGATTTTGATGCTGGTTGCATTTCTTTCACCCTAATAATGATCAGAAACTAAGTTACCGTGTAACTTACGTGATCTTCCTAGCTGGTACCTAACCTAATCCTCTCTCCTTGTGTAGTCTTTGAAGAATAGTAATTTACTGAAGTTCTCTGCAACATAATGAAACATTGTAGAATAAAAAAGCAATCTTGTGATATTTTTTTTATGAGGAGTTGCCAATTAGTCTTGATAGGTTAAAAATTCAGTCAAAGATTGGCTTTCAGGGCTTAAGAGATGTCAGGCAGATTAAAGCACTCTTTTGGCAGAGTGAAATTAAAACAAAATCCTTAGGACTCGGTTACACTTTAATAAAAAATTATTCATACCTTTCTTAACATTTGATTGTATTGTGCACAGTAGTACAGATTATTTTTCTCCAACAACAATGAATTGAATTATTAAATATTACTTTAATTCTTTATTTCACAGTAGAATGTCATTATCAGTCTAACCTGATTTACATAGCTTAGCAATCATACTGCTGAAAGAGAGATGATGACCAGTAAGAACTGTATTCTTTATCATCTCTTTTATTTTAAATTCAGTCACCTGCAGATCGGTGCAAGAAAATCCATGCTGGGGATGAAGTGATTCAAGTTAACCACCAAACTGTGGTATGTATAACTATGTTCTGTGTCAATTGGAGAAAGAGGTGTCATGGCACATCAGCATGTGTAGAGAAGAAATGTGTAGAAAAATGTGTTTTTATAAATCATTATTTGTTCTAACATCTAAATTTTCCTTTTCTCTTTTGAAACCACACAGTTCTTAAGTTAAGCCCTGATCCTCTGAGTATCACTGGAGGTATCAATTAGGCTAAATAGCTGTGGCTTGGGAGATATGTTAGGGTGGTTTCTGCTTACCCATGCTCTGTTAATAAACAGTTGGGTTTAGTGTAATGGAAGGTTTCAGTTGAAGGGATGCAGGGAGTTGGAAATGTGCCTTTGTGGGTTTAAGATCAAGATTACTTCCCGGAAGCTGGAAAACATACTACTTTCCAAATCTACTGGAATGTGTAGAACATGGTTTTCGAGAACAAAAGCATGTAAAATTCCCATAGGGTGCTTAGCTTAATTTAAATACAGATTTTTAAACTTGGAAAGTTAAGATGAAACAAATCTTTCAGATGTGATAAGCAAGAAAACTAACACCATGCAAATTGTTCTTTGTGTGAACAGATGCATGTTGCTTCCTGGTGATTTTATTTAGGATTGGTGAACTGTTAAAATAAAATTACCTTTTCTAAGGTAAGGCTTCGTAACAGAAAAGAGCAGACTGTCAGTATAGAAAGCAACTATACTTTTTCCAAAGTATAAGGTTTCTTAAGAGTAGTGAAAGTCAATATATGATATTAATTACATGTGTCCTTGTGAGCAATTTAACTGACAAAAAAAATATCCTAGATCGCCATTATTAATATAGAAGATGTTTGTTAAAAGTGTGTTTTGTCATTCCCCATGGGGTTCCGCTTCTAGGTTTAGGCCATTGTACATCATGTCAGCTCCTCTGCACAAATTAGTGCAATATTTCAGTTTACACTCCAGCTAAGTTTGATAGCAAATATACAGTACATATGTGGACCTTAACTGATGAGAAGCTATCTTTTGAGCTATGCAATGTAATTTGATAAATCTGAGCAGCTTAGGGTGAATTTTATTACTTTTTTTGGCCATATAGATTCTTAGTAAGTACTGTATCCCATGATTACTTACATGTACAGTTGATGACTAATTTCTTTATATTTCTGCACTAAGAAAGCTCATGACATCACTTTAATATGAAAAACATTTTAGAACATTATTATATTGGCTATCAAAATGTATACACATCTGAAGAAGCACATCAACAAGCATTTGATCCTTATGCTAGCTAGTTTTTCCAGCAAATTCTGATGGTGCTATATAGCAAAGTTGCCTTGTCAACTTGAAAATTTCCAATCAACTAGGTGTTTATTCTCGTTTTCTTGGCACATTTACACTGCATTTATTTGATGGAAAGATCAGATTCTTACTCCTAACACTAATAATAAAAACGTTTTGACAAGCCTTAAGATGAGCTTTCTTACCTAGTTGGATGGAATTTCGAATGTGGGATTGGAGTGTTTTGGCTCTTGCATTAGTGAATCTAGGTATTTTGAGATGTACAGAAAAAAGAGTTGATTGTAGCTCTAGGAAAAAAGACCATAGGGAGCTAAGACAATTTAATTTTTAGCAGTAACATTTGCTGTAGAGGATACGTGTAGTAGTAGGCTAAATCACACATTTACATATGTCCTTGCTTTGTTGTATCAACAATATAATTAAAATAATTGACATCGTTGATATTGTATACAAGTAACTTCCTTGTATTTTAGTGTCGCTTTCCCACAGTGAGAGTCAGCTGGCGTTCTCTTAGAAATGTGATAGCACCTCCCAAATTACTTTTACAGAGGTGCACTTCATTCACTTTCCAATTTATAAAGCCCAAGTTCTTGCTCTTTTCTATAAATGTTGCAGTATTATTTTAATCCTTTTATTTCTTTTGGCAAGAGTCTAAGTCAGTCCTTTTGTACTCTGGCCCCTGTCATAATGAATTTACTGTGCAGTTCTAGGAATCTTTTTTTTCTGGGGAGAAGAGATATTATTCCTTACAGTGATTCTTACTTCAGAGATAAATAATTCTGAAGATATTACATTTTGTCTTTTCTGTTTATAGCATTTTTTTTACACTTCATATACTGCTTATCAGTTGATAAACAGATCCTATGCTTTCAACTTGCTCCTTGTAACTGATCATACATTATCATTTGTAGTTACTATAGAAATAACTATGACTAAATTTTTTAAAGATTTAACTAGAGCAATAGGGAAGTATTGTTCACATGTAACTTAGGTGATGTCTTGTACTTGGAGAATCAAAATCTAAAAAAAAAATCTAACTTTAAATTTATTTTAGAGATAAAACTTTTTTTCTGTATTTTCTTCAGTTATTTCAGTGTATTCTGTTTGTTGAAGTGAAGTTAATACCTGGGTTTTAGTACTTTTAGTTCTTTCAGAAAGCCTACTGGCTTTCAGATAAGCAGCATGACAAAGTAGGAGAATAGTTAAGTGACTTACACTGATTTTTATTATACATGTCCTAATACTGGGTGTCAAATAGTTTTAAATTCTCTATTGACATCCTCTCTTTGCTTGTATTGATGCTTAATCTTCATACTATTTTGTTTGGCAGTGAAATCAAAGGATTTAGAGTGATTACCCTGATCTTTTGTGATGTTGATAGAAAACATGCATAACGATGTATTCCACTTGTTGCTGGCAGGATGTCTGGAATGTAAATATCTTCTGAATTTTTAAAATAAAAAAATAATAAGATTATGCCTAAAGTCAGTGAAAAGTTAATGTTCAGAAAACTGTCCTTTAAATTGTGGTTTATTGAGGTTAGATAGCTATGTGAATCTTCTGTGTCAGTTTTGCCTTACAGAGTAGAATTTTTTTTTAAACAGCTGTGTAACTAAGAGGCATGACTCCCCCATTAAAATTCAGAGGATTTAGGCACTGTCTTCTCTTAAACTTCACTGTAAATTCCATCCTTAATCTCCTCTAAAAGCCTGTCTGTCTAAAATATTTCCAATGTAAACAAACAAAAAAGTCATTAAGGCAATTCAGAATTTGCACTGTACTGCAGTACTCATGTTTCTGCCCATATATAATTCAAGAGTGTATTTTGCCTCGAGATAGTCCTTTTAAACAACTGAAAGTGCAGGAAACAATATTATTGCTTACATGAATTATTACTGTTGTCTTTGTGGTTGCATCAGTGATAAAGCAGTAGAGAAATACTCCAAGCAGAAAACAGGGAGGTATAGACTCAGGATGGTGTAGGATTCTTGAATAACAGGCTGTTCTTGTATCATCTCCTGTGCATAGTTTCTTTATTTTGGAGGCATTTTTGGCACATTGCATATACTTCTAATACAAGTATGATATAGATTATGGATTTAATACAAATATGATATGACACGTGATAGACATGTGGATTCCCAAAATTTGTGTTTGTTGGCTAAAACTCATCAGAATGATTGTAAATGTAGATGATGGAAAAAATGTGTTTAATTTGGCAAAATAGGTGAAGACAGTCAGTTACCAATCTGTTTCATGTAGAAGCTGGTATGTTTAATGTCTTTAACACCTATAAGTTGCTGTTGAAATTGGATTTTTTGGAATCATGTAGTATATAGATAACACGTAGCTTTTATGTGGCATGTTCCTTAGTGTGGAAACTCCTGTGGGCTCTTGTGGGCCAAGCCAAGTCCACAGAAGTGAGTTGCTGGAATTCTTTTTGTATTTACAGTACAAAAACTTGGAAAAGATTTTGCTAAAATTCCTCTGAAACATGATGGATACATTTACAAGATCATACCTTGCTTTTCTGCAAGGGTAAACACTTAAGACAGGTATGATACCTTTCTAGATCCTTACCCTAATTTAATCTTTGTTTAGAAAAAGTAAGGAACAGTTTTTTTAAGATTCACTGTACAATTAGTGAGAAGAGTTCAACTTCAACAGAACCTCCCAGGGTTTGTGGGGAGCTGGGAAATTCCAGCTGATAGGAAATGCTGAACTTGGGGTGCATATGAATCTGGAGCGTATGCATCCAAAATGGAGTTTGCAGTAGGTGTCTTATTTGGGGAAAAACAAAACATCTATAAGTAGAAAAATGGCGTTGCCAATATTTCTGTTTATTCAGTTCTTCTGCACTGTTTAGCAGGATCTGTTTCAGATCCAAGCTAGGTTTTTTTTTTGAACACAGATATTTCATTTAAGGCCTTATTAACTTGGCTTTGAAGGAAATGGTATTTCTAAAGAGATTCAGCGGGGAAGTGGGCTGGAGGGGTGTAAGGGAGAGGACAGCAGTGTCAGTCCAAGATTTTGCCATTACGTGTTTGACACCTTATACAACAACTTCCACTAACAACATCTTTCATTTAAAATAATATTTTTATTCTCTTATGATGCTTGACTTGAACAATAAAACAGTGCAGCAAGATCATAAAAGTTCAAAAGAAATATGCCTGTGCTCAGCTTCCTTCTGTTGCTGTCATGGATGTGCTTTTATGGAAGAGGAGATAGAGTAATAGCTCCCAAATCATGATTTTAATCCTCTCCAAATCCTTGGGCTCTCTCTGTTTATAATGGTTTGGTAAATGTTAACAGAAATATTTAAAGGTAGGTGGGATTTACATCTAAAAGCTTTTTAGGTCTATTCAGAAATGTTAATGGAAGTCTTTATAGCAGTAACCTCGTTCTCTGCAGGGCTCTGTCCTGAGCTCTCTGTAGTTGTCAGGATATGAGGACTGTACTTCGATTTTGGCAAATGTAGTCTGTCCTCCAAATGCCCTCTCAAAATTTCAGTTTAATTCTTTATTCTTTTTTTTCAATCTCCATAAGTATTGTGTAATACTGATAAAGGAGCTAAATTGTCATGATCCTCTCAAAATGAAAAATCTTTTTGTGAATTTGCAATTCCCTTTAGTGTGGAATTTGCGTTGAGATTATATGGTGTTATTTATGATCTCTTTTCTACATAGATGTGCAAATACACATAGAAATATATTATTTCATATCCCATATGT